ACGGGGATAATTGGGAGATGCTGCTGGGGAGAAGAAGGAGGGAAGTGCGGTGGGCTCAGGGCAAGTCAGGTGAAGACACGATCTTGGAAACAGGGGTCGTCAGCCTGACCCCACGGCAGCTCTGCTTGTCCCCCGAGGCAAAGGGCTGGCCTCTTAACTAAGCCTGCCCTGTCTGAACTGCTGAGCCCCAGAACCCACAAGCATGGTGAACGGTTGCTCACACCCCAGTTCTGGGTACATTTCTCAGGCAGCCATAGTCACGGGAACACTCTTTCCTTCTCTGATGAATCCAGAAGTCCTGCCCCAGCTCCAAGTTCCAGAGTGTGAACCTGGCTCCGATCGCACCAGAGAATCGGCCCCTTCCATCCCTGCCACCCCGAGGAAGGCACCTCCTGCCTCTCGCCAGGCCAGGCAGGCACCTCACAGGCCCACAGCATCCACACCCCCGATGGCCCTGTTTGGTTTCTGGAAAACAGGGATGTTTATCTTCTTTTGAGGGTGGCTCCATGTTTTTAAAACTTTTTCCATTCTGTGTATCACTGCTGAGTGTCAGGAGGGGGCGGTGCCTCTCAGCAAAATGTTGCCATGTCACCTTGACCTCCTGCAAAATGGGCTGCCCTCCACGACGGAGGCTGGGTTCCCCCCACCCCCCCCACCCCGCCATGCCTCCTGCTGGGCCTCCTGCTGCCTCAGCGTTCAGGACCGTTGTTCTTGAGCAGGCTGTGGGGGAAGCCTGCCTTCCCTTCCCTGGAAGGCAGCTGCGTGTCCACGTCCACACGCTGGACGCCAGAGGTGGTGGACGCCAGAGGTGGTAGAAGCCAGAGGTGAGGTCAGTCCCGGCTCCCAAGGCCCTCCCTGCTCAACGACCCGCAGGTGTTTTCTCGTACATTCAGAGCAAGCAAGCCTGCGTGTGGGATGGGGTTTGCTAGGGCTCGGCTGCATAGGTCTCAGTGTGCAAAGCACGGAGAACGACAGGGAGGAGCAAGCCACGAGCTCTGTCCTCTCCACTCGAGGAACAAGTGTAAAAGACAGCAGGACGCCCCGTCGTGTGCCAAGGAGGACGGACCAGAAATTCCCTGCATAGGGTGGGCTGTGTGATCTCGCCCTGGCACCCCCACCTCCCCACCCCAACCCGCCCACAGCCAGGGCCCCTAGCAGCCCCCACGGCATCACTGGCATGCCTTCCTGAGTGGCCACAGCCTGAGTGCATGACCCGACGGGCAGGCACAAAAGCTGCAGCCCCACCTCGCCCCCAAAGCCCACCCTGCACGGCCTCACATGGGAGTCTGCTGCGGTCCGGCCACAAGAGGCGGGCGGGCCAGCCGGGTCGGGACCACCCGAATGCTGAAGCTCGGGATGAGGCACAAGCACCGAGGATGGTCTGGGCACTGCGCCCAGCGGGGAAGAAGGGGCGTGAGAAACCCTTTGGTGGGTCTGTTTCTCCAAGTCCCAACACCCCCGTGTCTCATTTCATGAAAAGAACCCAAGCATGGCTGCCCCCACGGGAGAGTCACTTCTGATTTGGAGCAGACCCCAAAACCGTGGTTTCCAAATATTGCCGACCATGTACCCCTATTAACAATATATACATACGCACATTAAACGCCATGACCAAGTGGGATTTATCCAGGAGTTCCAGGTTGGTTTAACATTCAAAAGTCAGTTAATGCATAGGCCATACTAACAGGATAAAGGACACACCCCACATGGCTGTCTCAACAGGTGCATGAAGTCCAAAGTCTATTCATGATTTTTTTTAAAGGCGTAATAAAAAAAACATATAAGCAAGTAAATAAATAAATGCATAGAGAAACCCTCAGCAAACTAAGGATGGAAGGGAATGTGCCGGCCTGACAACCTCAGAGGGGAGCCGGGTAGGGTGGCGGCGGGCGGACCCTGCTGAGCTGCACACCCGCGGTGGGTGGACTTTACGGTACGGCAATTGCACCTCGGCAACGCTGCACAACAGAAGGGCGCACCGGCAGCCGAGGGTGGGGCAGAGGGAGCCCAGGGCCCAGGCAGCTACAGACAGAGGAACGAGAGCAAAACAATCCTGGGACTGAACATCCCATCCCAGCACAATTAAGAATCTGCCCGCCCAGATGAGAAGTCTGCTTCCTTGTTCCACTTTTCCTCCACGCAAAGAAGTTTCCAGACCAAATAAGGCTGCGGTTTTTGCAATGCTCCTGGCACACAACACAGTTCCTTTTAAGTGCCAGGTTATAACTGGGGCCTCAAACGTCCCAAAGCAGCACGGTGCCCATCGCCCACTGGTCCCTCTGGGTAACGCTCCAAACAACCCAGGTAAACACAGAGCAGGGCTGGCCTGGCGGCAGGGGTGAGAGTGAGCCCCGTCATTCCAAAGGAAGCCCAGCATGCCCACGTGGAGTACCAGGGCTCAATGTACCAGCAACTCCTGCTGGCAGCTGACCGGCTCCTGGGGCCCTGGGCGCCCTCCCCTTGTATGTCCAACCTGCACAGGGTGCCCCCCTGATACCTACAGCTTCGCGGACACTCCCTGGCATGGAAGGGTCAGGCATGGTGTCAGTCGCCCTGTGACCTGAATGCATTTCACCTCCACAGCAACCCTGGTGGACATGTCCTGCTATTTACCCACTTTACAGATGGGGAAACAGAGTCACAAGCCACACGGCCCATATGGGGTGAATCTTGAATGAACCCCCAGGTTGACATGCTCCAAGCTGTGCCACATCACCCCCTCACCCCAAAAGGAGAAAAGACAGGGCTCCCAGCTCCATGCCTCCTGAGGGAAGCATGCCCACCCAGAAGGGGGCTGCGGCCTGCAGGTGACCAGCAAGACCACCCTCGCTGCCTGGGAAGATGTTTGGCTTGGCATGTTTTTTTCCCTTTTTTTGGGCTACCCTGTCCAGGCCAACTGGAGGGCATTTCTGAGGCAGCCAGTTACAAACATTGTCCTAACAAGGTCTCTCTGGGACAAGAAATGGAAACTTTCGCTGTTGCAACGGTCAACTCTGATATTTTAACGATGCGTCAAGACCAGCCTGAGTGGAGGTCAGCGATGGAGGGTGCAGGCTCCGTGCAGGAGCAGCTGGGCGTGGTGGTCAGGGAACCCTAGGCTGGGCACCGCCAGCGAGCCCGCTAACCCAGACTCAGGTCTTGCATCACATGACACTGCCCAAGGATCATTCTGTGGACCTGTCGGCAAGGTGAAGACTGTTCTCTGCCCCGTCAGCGAGGAGTAGACGAGCTCAGAGAGGCAGACGCTTGCTGACGCCACATTCCATGAAGTCAGCGCACAGACTCAGGACCTTCTGATTTCGAGGCCTCCCACCGCCCCAGCCCACGCTGCATTGCCCTCCTTCCTCTACTTCAAGCTCTTCCTGGCAGGGTGGCCCATGGGCAAGAGCACGTGGATGAAGGAACAGCACCTGCTCCTTCTCTAATGAGCGTGGGTGTCCTGATTTGGTACCGCCTCCGTGCTGGGTCTGGGTATGCCCAATACGATACACAAAGGCACAGCTGGACTAGCAAAGATAATTCTAGCTGCAAGTGACAGAAACCCAAGGCAGACTTTCCTCAGCTAAAAAAGGAGACCCTGGGAAGAGAGGGGTAGGCGACCAGGTGTGGCGGGATCCAGGTGCTCAAACAATGTGATTGTTATTTTGCTACTTCTATTTTTGGCTGTTTCTATGTTGGCCTCCTTCTCTCCTGCAGACAGGCTTCCCTTAGGAGGCAGGAAAGGTGACTGTCAGCCACCCTCAGGAAAAAGAGGCAACCTCTTTATTTCAGCATCTGTGTGTGAACCCCACTCTAGAACCCTGATGGGCCCTGTTTGTGGACTCTGCCCATCCCTGAACCAGGCCTAGCTGTGGGCAGGGGATCAGGGCTTATTACCATAAAGACAGGGAGAAAAAGCAAGCATCCTCAGCAGCAAGACAGCTACCACCGTGCCCCTTGACAAGGGTGAAACACTGCTTTGTGTGCGCAGATCGCACTACCTTGCAACCTTGTTTCCCACCAGCTGGGGGCTGCTGGGGGCAGTGAGAACTTCAACTGACCGTGTGGGATGCTGTACGGCTCCTGCATGTAGCAGCAGCCCCTGTGCTGACACGAACCACCCAATGGACCGTGTGTCGCACAAAAACACACACTGCCTGGGGTCCCCACCGCCTCCCCTTCCTGAATAATTTGGTCTTAAAGCCAGTTGACAGGAGCAAGGAAGGCACCCACGTAGAGGGGAGGTGGGGGGGCCATGGTGGCAGGGAGGGCATCAGGCCTGGGCAAGGAATGGGCTGCCCCCAACAGAAGGTGGCCCAGCACTGTGGGCCAAGTGTGGTCCAAGTGTGTGGCCTGGTGCCAAAAACAGTCCATAAATATGCTGAATAAATGGCACTTGGGGGCCAGTGGCAGGATAAGATATGGGAGGCTCCTGGGGATAACACAGACCTCTTGAACACCTGGTCGGGGAGGCTGAGGTCACAGGAACATGAATGGCATTTAGGGTCAGCAGGTACAAAGTCTGCATGAGGGGTGTCTGGCAGGGGCGGAAGGCAGAGGACATTGCGCGTGGGGCGAAAGCGGGAGGGTCAGACCCTGGGCCGTGGACATGAGGGGCAGCAGATCTGAGCCCACAGGGCAGACCCCCAGGGCCCCTGGGAGGCACTGTCTCTGACGCCGCCTGCCCCTTTCTTCCCTTGGATAGCAGCCTCTCTCCAATCATCTCTTCACGGAGGCTGGTCTGGTTTGTACCAGTTTATCACCCCAGCCTTCCCAATTTCAAACTCATTCTAATTAGAAAAGTCAAGCAGAAGGAGGTATTTTTCTCCCCTTTGTCAACTGTGACCAGGGACAAGGCCCCCGCAGTGGCCCGCACACCCACCTCCTTGCTCTGAATGCTGCCAGCACCTTCTGGATGCCCAGCACCTACAGCAAACGTCGGCTCACATTGAGCCCTGGGCCACTCCAGGAGAGACACAGTGAGCACAAAGGAGAAAGCACGTTCACCAGAGACATAACAATGTGGGAGATGTGCATGGATCTTTATTTCACTCTTAAATAATTTATATCCCATTTAAACAAATAAAACTCTGAGACTAAAATATAACCACCTGAGGTTCTCCTCAATGAAGCAGCTGGCAGAGAACACCCGTGGGAGGGCTCCGGCTTTGTGTCGGCCGCGCGGCTGCTCTAGGACAGCCCCTTTCCGTGACCGCCACCTGCACAGGCTCGCAGAGGCCAGGGCGCCTTCATAAACCATGCCCCAGCGGGCCTCCAGACCTTACAGCCGGAGCTGAGTCTGCTGCCCTGCAGGACCAGGTCGGGTCACCACACCCGGCCAGGAACAGGACACAGATGGAAACTGGACTCAGTGAAGTCACAGCTGCGTCGGGGCACATGGGAGAAGTGCCCGGTGCTCTCAGATGCCATCTCCAGGTACGTGATCTGACTTTTCAAGTGCTCTCCCTCATTCTGGTGGCTGAAAGCTGGCCAGCCCCCAAAAGCAGGAATTTCCTTGTATGAAGCTTGAGAGGGTACTGGACCCAGGAAGGGGGACATAGTTTGAGGGGGACCCTCATGACAACACCCAAAGTTCAGATGGTGGGATTTCGGTTTTGACTTGGAAGGAAGGAACAGATCAAGAAACGGTCCAAGGCAGGAGAAGGGGAACGTGGCATGCCTGGGCCAACCACACCATGTCCAGAGAGGGCCATGTGGCACTGACCGCACGCCCAGGCACCCTCTTCCAAGAGCTGTCAGGTTAGACAATCTCACCTCCTTCCTCCCAGACACCGTGTCCCCCACCCGACTCTGATACAGGCAGGTGGGTCAGGTTGCACACTGTCACCAGAAGCAGTACAAGGAAGCAGAAAGCTTGCCCTCACTGTTTTTTTCAGAGGCAGGAGCTCTGGAGCAGCATGTGAAGAACTAGCTCTTCACTTTTCCTTCTCCTTCCGTTTACTCTTCCTCTGGCTGGTCAGCTCATCCAGCTTCTTATCCAGCCTCCTCTGGAGCTGGGCCCTCTTGGCTGGGTCCAGGGACCTGTCCTTGGTCCCACTGCCGGCATAGAGGACTCCTTCCCGGCTGATTCTCTGCCGGGCGTGGGCGTGAGCCCTCTCCCCACAGCCATGGATCTGGGGGTAGGGGAGACACAGTGGTGAGTGCTAAGCCAAACAGGGACAAACACCCTGCAATTCTGCCCACTGCAGAGCTTGGGGACCATGACGCCCCATCACGAGGTTCTGGAGGGGCTGCCCTTCCTGCACCTGAGCCCTCACCAGCAGGCTGCCATGGCGGGGGGCTAGAGGAAGCACCCACACCCTGCCCTACATCTCTGCCTTCAGCTCAGCCCAAACCATCCTCTGAGAAAATGCTGTCGCAGGGCTAGATCCCCACAACCTCCCTGACAGGGGGACATCACTTTGGGTATGGGTGACACACACACAGGCCCACCAGCAGTGGTGTCTGAAAAGCAGAACGTCAACACACAAGTCATGCCCCTGGAAGCAACATGTCTTTCCTCAAGCACGTAGCCCAAGTACAATCACGTCCCCTCTGGGCAAAAAGCTGTGTTCTTTAATCTGATCCCGACACTAGGCCTGTCACGGGAGCTCCAAAATGTGCATGAGCTGGTGACATGCCCCTGTGTTTTCAGGAAACTCTCACGTAACTCCTGTTTTTGAAAGAAGGAAACCTTCTGAGCACATCCCCTGCACCAGGTACTACAGCCAGTGCACAACGCGTGCATAACACGGTTCCTTCTGGAAAGCCTCCTTCCATGTTGCAGACGAAGGGAAGGGAATTGCCCGTGGAACCAGCATGGACCTAGCCTGCCAGCTCCCCCAGCCCTGTGCACAGCTCACTGAGACCCTGGCAGCCTGCCACCTGCACAGTGTCTGTCCCCACCCCTGCCGCTCGAGGCTCATGGGCTGCCCACCACAGCTCTCCCACAGACAGCCATGCTGCGTCATCCTTTCCATGTGGACCAGTCTCCCACATCCTGCATCCCCCGCTCCTCACTGCACCTCGGTCAGGGGTGAGGGCTGAGGCACACCACCCAATGAACATGTGGGGCAAGTGGCCCAGGGCTGAGGCAGAGTTCATTTGCCCATGTGACAAAGGGAGCAGGTGAAAGAGCTAGTGCTCGAGGCTGAATCCCTGCCACCCAGCCCCATGCCATTTCTGCACAGCCTCATTCCATTGGCCATAGACTTGTGACAGACTTGAGGCCCTGCCCGTAGCCAGCATCTCGTGTCAGACAGGACACTGCGCTAGCGCTCCCCATAACACTTCCACCAACCACACGGGAAACGCACAGCCCACTGGCCCCTGCAGCCGGAGCTGCCCCACACCAGGGGCCCGCATAGGCTATGCCAGTAATGCAAGCTGGTCCCCCAAACCTCCATAAGGCAATTTCTAAACATCCTAGAAAAACATCTTTCTAAAACACCACACACTTTGTCAAACAGATATGAACACAGACTGTGCACATGTGCATGTGCGTGTGTGCACAAGTGAAGGTGGGAAGGGGACTGGGGCAGGAATAAGGGGTGGAGAGGGGACCCCTGCCCAGGGTGGGACACCACCAGAATCTCCATGCAGCTCATCCAGGACGGTGACACCTCAGACACCACATGCCCTCCCCACACCTGCCCCTCCCACCCACCTCCGACAGTCCCACTGCCATCCTCCCACTGGCCCAAACCAGAAACCCAAGGGCCCCTCTGGGTCCTCCTTCCCCTTCTTGTCGTGACCCACAACCAGTTCAGGGCCCAAGTCCATCCCTCCATGCTCCTCACGACCCACCCCAGGACCTCCCAGCCTCGCCCTGAGCCTTCCCTGCACTGCAGCCAGGGCTCCCACAACATGGTGGTGCTGAAACCTCCAATGCTCCCCTCGGCCTCCAGAAGCAGAGCTCAACTGCTCGGTGCACAGGCTTCTCAGCCTCCATTCCATCACCCTGCCTCTGGCTCTGCTCCCAGCTGCACAAGGGCACCCCCTCCCTGGGGCCTTCACATATGCCCTCCCCCACCCAGTCCCCACCCCTGCTGCCAGCTTGGCGCCAGATCCTCCCTCAACACGGTCAACACGTTGTGGCACCAGACACAGCTCTCATACCCAAGTCCCCACGGGTCCCCGCCTGGAGCAGAGGTGAATCCTGCTCTGGCCCCCAGCAACCCACACCTGGCAGAGGAGATCCACATGTGCTCAAGAAATGAATGAAGGGGCAGCCAGCCCATTTCAGACCGTGGGCCAGAGGCCCCACCTCCCACCTTCCCTATGCTAACCCACTGATAAACTCCAAAGACACTAGAACAAAATCCCCTCTACCCAGAATTCCCACCAACTTGGTGGCGACTTGGCAAGTGTGACATTTTACTTCCTCATGCCTAAAGCAGAGTATGAGTCTGTGTCCACTCAGAAATATTCAGTGCTTCTGACCAGCCACTGTTTGTGTGTGGAGCACATCTGCCCAGGGCCTAAGCCCCGGAGACAAAGCACCACCACCACCACCACCCCCGCACTCTGCCATCTGAGCCCCCGAGGGCCGCCATACCTCGGGCAGGTGGTGGCTGAGGCAGAACCGGCGGCCACAGTGCTGGCAGAGCTGGCCCAGGGTCACCACGCTGGCTGTGCACTTAGCGAGGCCGCAGGTGTTATCTGCCTTCACGGCAGCCGCAACCAGGGCATCAAAGTCCTCCTCGCTGGGCAAATCTACAGCTGCATGTCCTAGGGGAAGAAAAGGGTCGCTCAAACAGGGAAGAACACAGTGGGATGAGAACCCCGCTGCTGGACCCGTGGCTGCCCTGCCAAGCTGCTGTACCCAGCTTCCCACTTTCTGTTCACAGCAAACAGGCAAATGACCCTCACTCAAGCCTGGCATCTGTTCAGCCAAGAGTGGCCCTTCCTCAGGGAGCTAATAAACAGTCCCTGCTAGGAGGTGTGGGCAGCATGCAGACTTCCTAGAAGGAAATCAGTACACACACAGCGCCCCTAAAAGTCCATCTGCTTTAATCAAAAAAACATCTAACTACGAGGACGTTCCTTACGACGTGAACCATAGCAGGGAAACAGCTGGACAAACCAGTGTATTCACAGATAACGACGTTAGGGGACCTCAGCCTTCCTGACCAGGTATGGAGAAACCTTTTTAAGTTACTAGAAAATGCTCAAAAGTGGCAAAGAAACAGGAGATCATGCATAACTTTAATTCTTTAAAATGTATTTGTGCACTCCAAACATGGACATGCAGAAAACACTGGAAAGCTCCCACCAGGCAGCTGTCCTCAATGATCTGGGGGACAGGAACAGACAGGACATGCCGGCATGCCATTTCCCGGAGTTAATTCCGTATACTAGGCATGCCGCAGCGCCAAGTACACAGGTCAGGATGGTCACCCAGGGGCAACCATGACCTCACTCAGAAAGCCCCACTGGTCTACAGGCACCTTGGTCGGCTGCAGCCACACCAGTCTTTCCATGCAGATGCAACTCTGCCACCATCCCCTGCAAATGGTGAGGGGCCCCAAGCCCGTCCCACACCCCAGACGGGCTCTACTGCACTCACAACATGCCAGCCTGCTGAGCATCAGAGGGCAGGGGAGGGAAAGACGTGCTCATGCCCAGGAGCAGCAGCAGGAGGCTTAGGGAAGGACTGACAAGGTGCTCGCCACTTCTCAGCATCCTCAGGAAACAGACAAGATGCAGGGACCAGGCACACAGGAGTGTTCAGGCCCCAATCCAGAAACGAGATCTCCCAAGAGTCCTGACTGCTTATCGGACAGGACCGAGTGCCTGTCATTCCCCCAACCCTCCTGAGGGGCAGGCAGCCTCTGACGCATTCAGCGGCACCCTACCCCACCGGGCCTCCAGCCATGGCCCCAGGGGCACGTTCAGACTGGCCTCTGCTTCTCAGCTGCTGGGACCTCAGCACAGAGTCTAGGGACTGACTGGACAGGTCATGTTCTGACTCTGAGTGGCAAGATGAATTCTGAAGGTGGCCGCTGCTTCAAGAAACACTTCAAAGCGGGGCTAAGTCTCCCCAGAACACAGTCTTCAAGTGACCATGCCACACACCTCCCAGAAGGAAGGCCAGGTCCTCCCGTCATTGTGTCCCAGCACCTGCCCTTTACGGCACTAACCATTTTCTCAACGTGATTTAAATAGGCACTTAACTTCTCTTTCTTCTGCCAGAATGTTGGTTCCTGGAGAGCAGGGGTGACTTTACTCCCTGGCACAAAGCAGGCACATAGTAGCTGCTCACTAAATACCACAGAACCAGTAAGCTATGGCCTCAGACCCTAGGGCTGCTCTCAAAGACCAAGAGTCATGTTTGTGCAGCTTTGCTCCCAGAAATTCAAAGAAAAAAAAGATGTGGATGGTTTGGTGGTCTTGTTCAGAGAGCAACAACTGGAGTAAGAGATTACCCAGAGGCCTCCAGAAAATCTGGGCCTTCAAGCTCAGTTCACATGGATGCTCAATCACACTGCAGGGCAAGGGGCAGAGCAGAGAGACCCACCAAGCACACCAGTGCGCAGCGACTGCAGCGCAAGATAGGAGCTGGGATGTGGGACAGCTATCACCCAGCACGGACATCTGAGATCACCCAATGGCTTCTAGACACTGTCCTCGGCTCCCCCTCCTGGCTCTTCCCCTGCACTAAGTGCACCCTGAGGGCTTCCCACCTGCCAGGCGCTGCCTGAGGCCCCGGGGACGCAAAGGTCACCGTGACCAACCACTGCCCTCAGGGAGTTCATACCAGACCAGTTAAACACAAGGTGCAAGATGCAGAACCAGAGCAGGAGCAACAAGAGGAAGTCCTGAGTCTCTCTGAGGGTTGCAGGCAGGCTTCATGTGGGGCAGACACCCCAGGCACAGGGCGCCAAGCTGGACTCCCATTACGTGACCCCACTTACGTTTTGCCTCTTTCTTCTTCTTCCTCTCAGGTAGCGTGCGTGGCCCTGAGTGCGGGGCCTGCTGCCCCTCCATGGCTGGCCGCTCCTGCCGGCTCTTCTCTCTCTGCAGCCTTTCCAGGTGCAGGGCCTTTAGATTCAGGGGGTCCTGGCCACTCTGCTCCCCAAGAGGGGGCTTGGTCTGTGTGGGGCTGGGGGCCGTGGGACCGACAGGGGCTATGCTGCCGACCCCTGCTGCAGGCGGCAGGGCAGGTGGGGCAGGCGGCGCAGACGGTGCAGACGGGGCAGGAGGGGCTCTCTTGCTCACAGTGATGAACCTCTTCTTCCCCGTCCCAGTGCTGTCATGTTTCAGTCCGTGCTCTTCGGCGATCTGATGGACCCACATCCTGTCGTGTGAGTTCAGGGAAGGAGGAAACTCCAACTGAGTTTTCTCACTCACCACAAACTCCGCAATCATGGCCCTGAAGTGGTCTGCATGGTCTCTGCTCCCTGCTCCCTCTGGGCTGCCTCCGTTGAGGCTGGGCTGAGAAGGGACCTCAAGGCCCGAGGGCTTCCCACCCCGCCTCTTCCGCTCCAGCCCAGCAGCTGCTCTGGTCTCCTGGGCCCCTTCCTGGGCCCCCTCCTGAGGCCTGCTCCCAGGAGGCTTCCTGGACAATGCCGCAGAGCTTTGGGGTTTCGCACCAGCTTGTCCGTGGCCCTGGGAACTCTCGTGGGAGTAATTTTCAGGGATGATGTCATCAAGATATTCAAAGGCGGTGCGCACCTCCCCGTGCTCTGTGAAGTGATCCACCAGGGTCTTCAAGAAGGCATGGTTGCTAACAGTGCGAGAATCGCACACAACTGCCACGTGGCGCCGAGCACGGGTGACAGCAACGTTGATCCTGCGGTCCTCAGCAAGGAAGCCCACCTCACCTAGGAACAAGCCAGGGCTGAGCGGCAGACCCAAGACTAAGGAACAGGTAGTCAACTCCGGCACCTGAGTGATAAGGATCACCAAGGGGATCGTCCGACGTCCCTTCTCCACCAACCACCGGCCCACTGCTGCACCGCCGCCTGCTGGGCCACCCCGGGCACCTGCGCAGACCTCCTGCTGCCCATCCTGCTGCCTGCCCATGGCTTACCAAGTCTGGCTCCACAGTACATGGTCTGGATACGGCTGCTTGTCTCCTTCCCCAGCCCAGCCCGGGAGGGTGACTGCAGCCAGCAGCAGGGAAAGCGCGAAGGATGAGCCCACTCCACACGGGCTCTGGTCTGAGCCCTGCTGCACCCCACCTCTGGCCCCATCTCTCGCCTGCCTCTTGCCCCATGCCAAGCTCACAGAGACCACGCTCACACCAACCTGCACAACCCCAGCAGAAATCCAGTATGCCCTCCGAATAATCTATTCTGTGCTTCCCCAGAGACCTCTGTGGAGCCCTACATACCTTTCTCTTTTTTTTTTTTTTAAGATTTTATTTATTCATGAGAAACAGAGAGAGAGAGAGAGAGAGAGGCAGAGACACAGGCAGAGGGAGAAGCAAGCTCCATGCAGGGAGCCTGCCGCGGGACTCGATCCCGGGACTCCAGGATCATGCCCTGGGAGGAAGGCAGCGCTAAACTGCTGAGCCACCCAGGCTGCCCCCTACGTACCTTTCCTATTGGATCTGACGAAGGACAGTACCACAGCCTCCTTCTCTCGGCCTTGGAAGCCGTCAACTGACTTAATTTCAAGCTCAGGGTGCCTGTGGGCAAGGCTCTGTCTGAGCAGGTCCACCTGGAACACCAAGCAGGGCCACATCCACATCACAGCTCAGGCCCCGGCGGCCTTGACGCTGCTCTTGTACTTGGCAGAGGGCCTCACGCCACACAAGGGCCGTGACTGCCTTCTGACATGTCAGCAAACACACGAAGCAGCACATAAACAGGTCAGGTGCGGCCTCACACCCCAGCACTGACGTTACATCATTTTTTCTGGCTCAAGACAGCCCCCTGCCCAGACACCCTTCTGTGTGATGCCTGTAAACCAGGAAGGGATGGCAACCGAGCCACAGACCTCATGATACCTTCCTCACCTGCATTTTTCCCACCAAGCAAGACAGACTTTAGTGACAAGCATGTAGGCACTGAGAGAGAAAACATGAGAAACCCCAAAAAGAAAGGAACAAGTGATGGCTGCTTCTGCTGCCCCCCCACACCCAGTAACAGGCAACACCCCGATCTTCCTTCAGCAAACTGCCTGTCCCACACTTAGCCCAGGAAACAGAGCCAGCCCCCCTACCCAAAGACGGGTGAGGAACTGCTCCAGCCACAGCAACCAGTGCAGGGATGGGGACCTAAGTCAGATTCCTAAGATCCAAAGCTGAGACCCTGTGGGAGAGGCTGTGATGGGACAGGCAGTCCCCAGGGCTGCTCTGTAAGGATGGCGCCAGCCCAGGCAGCCAGGACCTCCTGGGCAGCTGGCCAGAATAATGACGCCAAGCAGGGAAGCAGGCTGACATCAGCAGAGCAAGTAAAAGAGACAGACTCTTGCTACTGTCATGTGTGCCCTGCATCTAGTTAGGAGATGAACAGTCTGCCTAGAGTTTACAGCCAGAGACCATAAACCACACTTTCCCTTCACTTAGGGGGACTGTACCCCACCGACACAGACAGACAAATGGGCCCCCTCAAACCTGGAGGTTGTATGGCGTGATGACGGCGATGTCGCTTGCCTGGACACCAGCATCCACCAGGGCCTGGATGTGCAGACTGACAAGGCGCACTTCACCTGGAGGGAAGTAAGCAGGCTGTGGGCCAGGTCACTTGGAGCAGACCCCCATCATCAGTGCTAGTTTCTTTAGCAGTCCACACAATCCTACAAGCGGATCTTACATCATGCCCGGGATAATGCCGTGAGCTGCAGGGTTGCCAGACCGAGCCAACGAAGACACAGGCCGGCACCATGGGGGAGCCAGGATCTTGTCCAAGGCCGACGAGGCCGACCACAGCGGCCTCATGCCCCCTCCCAAGCCTACTCCTTCCCCCAAAGCCACATGTGTTCCCACCTCCTCTCTTCTCCCCCCCTACTCAGCTCCTCTGAAGTTGGCAACTGCAGTAGGTTTCCATGAAGAGGAGCTCAGGGTCTGATGAAGCTAGAACGCTGGCCCTGTCCCAGCGAGCTCACCAGGGTTCCCCTTAGACTGGTCGTCATCCTCTTCGAGTTCAAACAGCCCGCAGCCGGCTGTGTCCAGGAGCAGCAGGGGGATGCCTGTTTCCTCCGTGGCAGCCACTCCCGGGAGGTCCCTGCACGCAGGTGGAGACTGAACACATGAGCCCAGGGCAATAAAGCAGAGCTGAAGCCCTAATGGCAGAACTCGAGTCTCTCTTTACTCCCTCTGGCACAGCCTATTCCCACGGGAAACAGGGGACATGAAGAACCTCAGAGACTGAGCACCCCAAAACAGCCCTGCAGAGTAAGGCCCTCCCACCTGAAAGCCAGCCTCAGAGGTGACTTTTACTCTAGACTCTCCACTGAATGCGGGACTCAGGGTAGGCCAGGTGGGGCAGAACCAAAGCACTCACCGCAGAAGGTGCCCAGCCACGGAAGGGTGGGCTGTGAGCTGCCCATGGTACAGGGCCTCCGAGGCCCACCGCATGATGGCCTGGTGCATGCGGTACTGCACCGTCAGTGTCCGCACCACACGCGCGCCATGCTCCTCGGCCAGGCGCTCCATCAAGCTGAGTGACAGCCCCGCCAGGGCAGCCCTGTGCCAAGACAGGAACCGGGAAGGGGAGCCTGAGTTTCCGAGTCTGCCCTGAAACCAGAGTCTAGGGAGGAAAGCGGTGTTCAAACCTCAGATCCCAATGCCCCCACCCCAAGTCCTGACCTAAAATTAAGGTTGTGCTCACCCCAAAGACGCCCACATCCTGGGACCTGTGAACACGTGACCTTACCTGTGTGTGTGAAGTCACAGTAGGCCCAAGGCTATCGGGGGGGGTCCTTCTAAGAGGGAGGCAGGAGGGTGAGGACGAGGGTCAGGGTGAGGGTGAGGGTCAGAGAAGACAAGACCAGAGAAGTGAAGACACTGCCCGCTGGCTGTACGGGTGGAGAAGGGGCCCCAGGTGAAAGAGTGAAGCACTTCCAGAAGCTGGAAAAGCCTAAAACATGAACCCTCCCCCGGAGCTTCCCTGCCAACACCCTGACTTTAACCCACGGAGCCCAAGTGTGGACTTCTGACTTCCAGAATCACAAATAAATATATGCTGTTCGGGATCCCTGGGTGGCGCAGCGGTTTGGCGCCTGCCTTTGGCCCAGGGCACAATCCTGGAGACCCAGGATCGAATCCCACGTCGGGCTCCCGGTGCATGGAGCCTGCTTCTCCCTCTGCCTGTGTCTCTGCCTCTCTCTCTGTGTGACTATCATAAATAAAATAAAAATTTTTTAAAAATTATTTTTTAAAAATAAAATAAATAAATCTATGCTGTTCAAGTGATGATTTGTCACAGTACCAACCGCAAACTGTTACAAATTATTTCAAACTCCAACATACTTCAGCCACAAGTAACCCACTACTAATTGTAACCACAGCTGACTTTCACCAAGGGCTTCCTGTGAACCACTCTTAACGCTGTTAACTCACTCAATCCTCACAAAACCTTAAGGGGTAGTGTTGTGCATCCCACTTCCCCAGGAGGAGAGTGAGACACAGAGAAGTTGAGGGACCAGCCCAAGGCTGCCCAGCCAGTGAGCCAGTGACCTGCAGAGGCCGAAGCACCTCTTCACCACCATGGCACAACATCTCCCTCCCGGTCGGTGATACTAAAACTGGGGCAAAGTTCCTGATCATACTTCAGGGGCCCTTGCTCATGGTCGACCTCTTCCAATTCAGATACCTACTGAAAACGATTCATGCCAGAGACATGAGCAAAGCAACTACCAGTCCCCGCTGCAAACAGAGAACTGCCTGGCACAAGTTCCCCCAACAGGGGCATCCCTGCTCCAAGGGCACAGCCCCAAACGCTCTCCACACAAAGGTCTGTGCAGGATACAGAGCCCCTGTCCCGGAGTCTCCACACCAACACCTACCGTGGGGGCAGGCCTCCCATCAGGACAACTCCCCAAACACAGCGCCCCATCTCCACCTGCACTGCACCCACTCTGAGGACCCATGCTAGGTGCTCTCCTTCTCCGACGGACCCTGACTTAATGCCCCTCTGCTCTGGAGGCCCCCTCTCCCCTCTGGTGGGTTCCACCCAACAGACATGCCGGCGCATTGTGCTTCTGGCCCCCAGAAAAGGAGCCAGAAGCTCCACTGCGACCTGTCCACACTCACGACGAAGGATAAGAGCATCTTGGGGAGCAGCAGAACGAGAAGAAAGCCACCTGTGTGGGGAGAAATTCCCTGCCTCGGGGACGACTGGTGTCCCTGGGCGCATTTACACAAGGCCAGTCCTGGTCACAACTTACATCCCAGTTGGAACAACCAGGGAACGAACAGACTAACACACTGCCTCCACAGAAACACTGAGAAGCTGTGACAAGGGACCTACAAATAACAGGTACACATGGAGACAGGGTGGTCACAGGAGGCCACGAAGAGGGCTCATCCGGGAGAGGACTGAACGGAGGAGGGTGAGGTCAGCTCGTGTCCGGGAAGGAACCGTCCAGACGGGGAGAGAAAGGGCAGAGGAGGCCAGTGAGGCCAGAGCAGTGGAGGAGGAGGGGCTGGGACGGCCAAGCTCGGTCACGACACCAGGGACTGCTGCATCTCTGCGGCATGCAGCATCAGAATCTACAGAATCACTCCTTGTGGCCTCAGTCAAAGGATGTGCCTACAGGTCAGGACTCGGGAGACTCCAGGCCAGGCCAGGAGCTGATCAACCCAGAGGCCAGTTGGCCCACCCACAGAAGCAGCTCTCCCTCAGACCCCACCTGATGGAACAGACACATCGACCTGCTGGGAAACCACTCAACTGGCCCAGACTGGGCACGGTGCCGAGTGCTAAGGCGACAGAGACACGGGCAGGGGTCTTACTTATGAGAGACCGTGGTGGGGGGCAGCTGTTTGTGATCTCCAGCCAGGATGCACTTCCTGGCCTTCAGCAGGGGGATCCAGCAGCTAGCTTCCAGAGCCTGTGCGCACTCGTCGATGACCACCACATCAAAATGGGTATCGGGCAGTAACTTCAGGGGACCATCAGAAGAGGCACCTGGTGGAATTGGAACCGTGAGCCTTACAGAAGTTGCTGGCTGTCTGCGTCCTAGCAGCTGTGAACACACTGCAAGAAATGCCAACAGACCTGTCGGTTCAGAATCCAGTCCAGCGTTAAGATGGTGTAAGAAGCGTGCGTCTTGGAATAAAAACTCAGGAAGGACATTAAAAACCTCGTGTTACAGCCCACCTGTGTTCATGTGTGAGGCAGTGTGCTCCTAGCCAAAGGCCACCTCAACACTCCCTATAGGGGCTGGGAGCACCCCCGATGCAGAAAGCCCTCTCCCCAAGCATTTGCCCAAAACCACGAATCTCTGAGGCAATGCACAACAGCTGGAGGGAGTGAGACGTAACCAGAAAGCCTCAAAGGAAGAGTGAGGGAATGACATGTCCACAAGGGGTAGAGAAGCTCCAACCTGACCCTGGGGGCCCAGAAGGCGATCTACACACATCAGGCTGTGTGTGTGCTCACACAAAACCCCAGGAGTCCCAAAGCACTTATGGCTGGTTCACCTCTGGCTTCAAACCAACAGGAAGCGAGGCCCGAGAGCTGTGAAGCGCCTGGCTGAGCGCTGAACATGTGCTCCCAACACACAGAGGCCCTCGGCCAAGACCCGCAGATGTGCCACTTCCATCATGGGAGGCAATCTGTACGATCCTCCCCTGCCCTCTGTGCTGGCAGGCTTCAGTGGCCGCCGGGGACAACAATGCAGGCATCTCAGAATCAGCTCAGGGAAGTCACTAAACAAACCAAACAGTAACAACAAGCCCCGGGGAGGGAAGAGAACCTGATTTCCGTATTCCCAGTATCAGGAATGAAACCAGTGACACTATTACAGATGCCACAGATATTTTTAACATAAGTGGATATTAAGAACAAGTTTAGACCTATGAATTTGATCCGTTAGATTAAATGAACGAGTTCCTTGAAGACACTACCTGGCTCAAGAAGAGGAAACCTGAATATCCCTGAATCAATATGGATTAAACTGAGATGGTCATTGAAAACCTCCTCATAAGGAACACTCCAGGCCCTGAAGACTTCCATGGTGAATCCCACCATTTATGGACAGCTCTACACAAACCCCGCCAGAAACAGGGAAGGGAGAAGACCCCTCCCGGCCCCCTCTAGGAAGCCTTGCTGAGGGCGGACCCGCTCCCCTCACCCGTGTTCGTCGCCAGCACCACCGCTGCCGAAGTGAGGCTCTCCAGCATCGCGGCTTCCTCCCTCTCCTTCAGCTCTTTCCTTAACAGCTTGACTTCATTCCAAACACTACTCTTCTCTCTCCTATCCTGGGTTTGCCTGTTGTTCACCTACAAAGGAAAGCCAATAACACATAAATGCTTGCACGTGATTTCGCACCTACTTAGCTCTTTCTCGTTCATGAAGTGCTCCTGTTTATAACCAGCTGGTCCACTTCATTAAGCTTGAGAGGCGCTAAAATGTCAAGAATCCGTTTGATGGGCAGCCCAGGTGGCTCAGTGGTTTAGCGCCACCTTCGGTCCAGGGCATGATCCTGGAGACCCAGGATCGAGCGAGTCTCACATCGGGCTCCCTGCATGGAGCCTGCTTCTCCCTCTGCCTGTGTCTGCCTCTCTCTCTCTCTCTCTCTCTCTCTCTCTCTCTCTCTCTCTCTCATGAATAAATTTTTAAAATCTTAAAAAAAAAAAAAAAGAATCCATCTGAAAGGAACAACAGATACACACAGATACACACAGCACTTGACACCCTGTGGCCTTACTGCCAGTGTTACCCGCACGGGGGAGGGAGCGGGGCAGAGTCCAGGTCCTCAAACCAGACAGTGCTTAGAACTGTAACTCAGATGAAACCAGAAATGGGACCCCACGCTACCCTGAGCAGTCACCGCACATGCTCTTGGCAAGAAAGAGCACCTGCCATCCCAGGACTTGGGTTTTAGCTGCTCACAGAGAAGAGGCTATACACTTCAGTCGTTATTCCATATTTGCCAAGAGAGTAACAAACTTTTCTCAACCTATAAAATGTGTATCTAAGCCTCGACTTTCTGTAATACTAAAGAAGACACTCTTCCTAGAGGCACCTGGTTAGCTCAGATGGTGAAGCGTTTGCCTTCAGCTTGGGTCATGATCTCTGGGTCCTACGGTTGAACCCCAAGTTGGGCTCCCTGCTTAGTAAGGACCCTGTTTCTTTCTCATCCTCTACCTCTCCTCAGCACTCAGAAGCTCACTCTCTCTCAAATAAATAAAATCTTAAAAAAGACACCCTTTATTTTTTTAAGATTTTATTTATTCATTCATGAGACACAGAGAGAGAGAGAGGGGGGCAGAGACACAGGCAGAGGGAGAAGCAGGCTCCATGAAGGGAGCCTGATGTGGGACTCGATCCCAGGTCTCCAGGATCAGGCCCTGGATTGAAAGCAGCACTAAACCGCTGAGCCACCCGGGATGCCCAAGATACCCTTCCTAACTGTGATTTCTGCTTTGGAGGACTGGATATGGCAGGGTTGACTGGGGGGCCTTACTGTGCCTCCCTTATGGGGAAGACCCTGAAAAGCACTGATTACAAATGGAAACAAGAAAGGCAGTCATCCACATCTGCGGTGGAGGCAATACCATCCAGGCATACTCCTATCCCCTCTACCCTCAATTTGACATGCTCTCAGCCTGTCCCCAGATCTGCTGGGTGCACACTGGCATCTCGAGTGCCACCTGACTACTCCGCACCCATGGGAAGGTGGACTCACAGCCCTAGCCCTGTGGGACCAGGACACAGAGGAGCAGCAATGTGAGGCCATGAGACCAGCTGACTGTGAGCAAACGAAGGGGATGGTAAATCAGAGAACCAGCGAGCGCCAAAGTACCAGACTGCAAGACTTAACACGACTCCAATTATCCTGTCACCCACTGCCTCTCTTCCACAGGGAGAGTGTAAATGGGCCAAAATTTGGGAAGATGAATTTTTGAATTTTTATTATCAGGTTCCTGGGTTTTTTCTTGCCAATACTACCAGACCTAGGGGATGTTTAGAGACATGTCTTCTTTAAGATAACCTCTCACCTCCTCCCAAAACTACTTTGTAAACAGCTGAGACCCTATTAAGTGCTGAATACAAGTTTCTATCAAAAGTGGGCAGTCCTTTATTTCTTAATACAACTGGGAGGGGGGACTCTTTTAATGGGCAGTTCTGATGCTTGAAATTCTTTTTTTTAAGTAGGCTCCATGCCCAGTGTGGAGCCCAACTCACCGCCTGAACTCACAACCCTGAGATCAGAACCTGCACTGAAATCGAGTCAGGCGCTTAACAGACTAAGCCTCCCAGGCACCACCCCCTACCGCCCCTATGTTTGAAATTCTTAAATGAATTGATAGAGGCAAAGGAAAAGTGAAGAGGAGCACAGACAAAATTGGCTCCCAGGAAAAACTGTGGATCAGAAACCATGCAGAGCAGTTGCTGGTAGGAGGTACGTACAAAGGCCTGATCAATGTCCTTTCTGATGTCTGCAACAATCTGGGCATTGTCACTCCGCGCTAAAACCGCGTCGAGGGAATGCTGCTGAATGGACTCCAGGAGGCGGGCAGGGTGCCCGAGGCGCAGGATCTTCTGCTTACACCGAGCCAGGCGCTCCACCAGATTGTCCACAGCTATGTTAGAGGGAGCACAGCACAGAACCTGGGGGGGCAAAGCTCAAATTCAGCGACTTCTTTAGTCAACCACTTAAGTTCATGCTAAAACAAAGAGAAAGCCTTGAAAGTAGAGAGAGGACAGAGTGCACAAGTGATCATGTCAGAGCGGCTGGAGGGATGGCTGGGCGCGACCTAAAAATAGTGAAAGGGAATAGAGGGGAAGGGAGAAGAAATGGGTAGGAAATATCAGAAAGAGAGACAGAACATGGAAGACTCCTAACTCTGGGAAACGAACTAGGGGTGGTGGAAGGGGAGGAGGGCGGGGGGTGGAGGTGACTGGGTGGCAAGCACTGAGGGGGGCACTTGACAGGATGAGCACTGGGTGTTATTCTGTATGTTGGCAAATTGAACACCAATAAAAAATAAACAAACAAACAAATAAATAAATAAATAAGGGACACATGTTACTGCAGACTCTATAGTAGCTGCAACTGATGCTTCAGAAGTCTAGTCACCAGGCACCTGGGGGGCTCAGCCGGTCAGCCATTGGCTGGGGTCGGCTCAGGACCCTGGGACTGAGCCCCTCATCAGGCTCCTTACTCAGTGCGGAGCCTGCTTCTCCCTCTCCCTCTGCTCATTCACTTGCACTCCTGCTCATGCTCTCGAATAAATAAAATCTTAAAAAAAAATAAAAGAATACAAAGAACTCCTAGAACCAGAAATGTTAAATAATTTGCAACCGGGAGGGGGGGGGGGACTCAAAAATTAAAGCGTCCTGAAATTATCAGGACTGGAGCATATGGTTCCTCACCGATGAAATCACTTTCCCAATCTGACAAAGTGAACAAGGGAAAATCTTTCTGATGGGCTCAATCTTGCTCCTAAAACTATTTTCTGTAGTGATTTTAAATCAGGAAAGAAAAACCAGAAGTTCCACTATTAGAAGCAGTTGACAGCTAGCAGAGGAGGTGGAGCAGACCCCCAGGGGAACACAAGCCTCAGAAGCAGGCGGCCACGGCCGGCCCTCCCTGTGTCCTGCGCCACCGTCATCCCCACAGAGGGCCTGAGTGTGAACCAAGGTGTGTTCTGTCTCACAGTTTACACAAACAGGAGGCATTATCCACTCAAACCACCAGAAATGCTTCCTACCAATGAGTCATCACTTAATCAAGTTTTCAAATGCCTGAGCCAAATCACTCATTTGTTTGAAACTACTGGACAGTTTCACGACCAAGATCTCCCTTCAGCTCTAAGCAGCAGTGGTTCTGCCTGCAGAGAAGCATGAGGCTCAGAGCAAAGACCCTGGAGAGCGTGACTGCCTGAGTCCAAACGCTGGCCCTGCCATCCACCCATTGCTTGAGACCTTTGCCAATTTCTTTGGAAACACGGGTCCCCAGCAGTTCTTAGCACCCAGGATTTCCGTGAGGACTACCTGAGTACATGGACAGCACTCAGAAGGATAACTATTTTGTAAGGACTCATCAGTAAAATGTTGATCATCTTTACTGTAATTCTTACAGTTATCTGATATTTATAAACAAAGATTTTCTAGGGATCCCTGGGTGGCGCAGCGGTTTGGCGCCTGCCTTTGGCCCAGGGAACGATCCTGGAGACCCAGGATCGAATCCCACGTCGGGCTCCCGGTGCGTGGAGCCTGCTTCTCCCTCTGCCTGTGTCTCTGCCTCTCTCTCTCTCATTCTGTGTGACTATCATAAATAAATAAAAATTAAAAAAAAAAAAAAAGATTTTCTAAAAGTTTTCCACATGCTCAGAATCCATAATGATTCACTCATGTGGATGCAGAGGAAAAAAGACCATTCTCAACTATTAAAAACATAAGTGAGTGATATACAATATCCCATGTCAATGACAGGCCAGCTGTCTCCCTGAACTAACTACAGGGCCCAAAGGTACGGACAGGCCTGCCCACAGTGTGAGCATGGCAAGTGTGCTGAGCAGAGCCTCTCTCAGATCCCCAGACCGGCACTCCCAAGCGTGCTCCCCCTTCCCATGCCCCCTGCAGCTCTCAGAAGTCAGGGCGGGCCAAGCCCAATGCGCCACTGGTAGGTGCTCCGAACACTCCTGACTGGGCCTGAATCCAGCTGAGCACCTGCAAGCCAAGCACCTGCAAGCCGAGCTCCTGCGAGCCCGGCACAAGGAGCACATCCATCCTGACGGGGCAGCAGCACCCATAGCTCACCTTTAAGCCCTGTCTCACAGCCTGAAGAATGATCTCGACCACAGTGGTGGTTTTTCCGGTGCCAGGAGGCCCATGGATGATGGCAAGTTCTTTCTGGGACAGCGCAAAGGAGACTGCTTCCTTCTGGGAGGCGTCCAGGGAGGTGTTGCAGAACAGCGGCGGCTCTACAGGAGAGACAGCAGTGTTAGGCTCTGGCTCCATGCCACTCGGTACTTCCTCCTGGCAGAAGGCACTGACCCTTCCCAGGAACTTGCCAACAGACAAAATCAGTCCGCTTGGTCCTCTGGTGGTTCCTCCCAGGAAGCAGATCCAGCTTGCTGCGTGTTTTCCCAAGTCCAGTTTCCCTGGGACCCAACCACACCCGCACATGCTTGTCTCTGGCTGCTACATCAGCTCACAAAGCCTGACATATTTAAAATCCATCCTTTTATTTAAGAAGTTTGCCAACTTATGCTACACAGTAACAGACCTTTCTGAAAGAAATGTTTCTTGGAATCTATTTCTAGTAGGGGTGTCTAAGGGGCTCAGTCCGATAAGCACCTGACTCTTGATTTCAGCTCAAGTCATGATCTTGAGGTCGTAAGATTGAGCCCCCGCACTCAGTAGGGAATCTCCTTAGGATTTTCTCTCTCGGGATGCCTGGGTGGCTCAGTGGTTGAGCATCTGCCTATGGCTGAGGGCATGAAATCCAGAGTCCCAGGATCGAGTCCCACATTGGGCTCCCTGCATGAAGCCTGCTTGTCCCTCTTCCTGTGTCTCTGCCTATCTGTATCTCTCATGAATAAATAAAAAATCTTAAAAAAAAAAAAAAAGGATTCTCTCTCTCTCTCTCTGCCTCTGCCCCTCCCCTCCATGTATGCTCGACTCTCACAAAAAATAAAAGTAAAATAAGTAAAAATTAAAATAAGTTAGTTTTTCTACCCTGCTGCCCCTTTTTAATAAAGTGACAAAAACAAATGACAAAAAGGAATTAGCAAATTTTGGAATCGTGCCTCCTCACTGAATCTTCTATGATGAAGACCAATTATTTGCCTCGTGTACTCTGTGCTCAGAGAGCAGCAGCTATGTGTCCAGCTCTATAGGACACTGGCTACATGGAGACACCCGACCCATGAGTGAGCAGAACTCCCAGGCACAGTGCCCTGATCTGGGCTGGCCAGACTGACACAAAGGTAGAAAGCAGCAGAGGACCACCTGACCCAAAGTCCCAGTGCACATGTGTGCATACATGTCTGTATGTAAAAGACAGAGTGCTCCACGTGGAAAAACTAGAATATACACAAGTACTAGGGAGGCTAACTCCAGATGGTAGGTTCCTGAGGGATCTGTTCCCCTGCTAATGTACTTACTTATTTCCAAATATTCTACGATTAACACATACTCTATTACTCTTCTCATCAGAAATAAGTGATCTTCAATTTGAAGGATGCTGAGAAATGACCAAATGCACTTAAGAATTGGGATTTTTCAAACAAACACAAAAACACTATTAAACACAAACACTCAACCATCCTATTTCCACATCACTGAGTTAGAACATCCTCACATCTCCAGAGAACGTAGTGAAGTCAACAGAACGAGCTGCTTCCTTGCACTAAATACACAAGAGGTCAGTCCATGTGAGTCATTCTGAGAAATTTAAAGTAGACTTTTAATTTATAAAAGAGAGAGGGATCCCTGGGTGGCACAGGGGTTAGCGCCTGCCTTTGGTCCAGGGCGCGATCCTGGAGACCCGGGATCGAGTCCCACATCGGGCTCCCGGTGCATGGAGCCTGCTTCTCCCTCTGCCTATGTCTCTGCCTCTCTCTCTCTCTCTCTCTCTCTCTCTCTCTCTCTGTGACTATCATAAATAAATAAAAATTAAAAAAAAAAGAGAGAGATGCCTTCTAACTGTACATCCTCAAACTCTCACTCAAACACCCTGGGTCCTGCCATTCTCGGTGTTTCTGTAACAACCTCGATCAGAAAAGAACACACAAAGGTTCTTACCTATATTGCTGGCAGGACTGGGGGCTGATCCGCCAAAGAGGACCTCTATGAGTGAGGACGCAGGGCCAGAATGGTACTTCTTTAGCGTTATCAGAGCCCTGCCAACAGAGAAAACTAGAATTAAGAGTGTGGTGAACACCAAATATTGAATCTGTGCCCAACCCTCTGCCCAGCAAAGGCCACCTGCAGCCTCCATAACCCGTGAGGGGCCCACACAGACTCCACACTCAACACAATTGCTCTCTTCCACCCACAGGGGCAAGCAGTCAGGGTAAGTGTGCAGTACTGGAAGAAAATAGGATGCCTGGGTGGCTCAGTATGTGATCCCAGAGTCCTGGGATCGAGTCCTGCATCAGGCTTCCCATAGGGAGCCTGCTTCTCCCTCTGCCTATGTCTCCGCCTCTCTGTCTCTCATGAATAAGCAAAATCTTAACAAAAAAAAAAAAAAAAGAAAGAAAAAGAAACTTGATTCCCAGTCACACAAACTCTTACTTTTTCAGTCGCTTGTAAGTAATGTCATTGGCAAGTTTTAACAGTCTGTAGGCCCGCTCCCGGTCCAAGCTCAGCTGGAAATCATGGGACGCATCAAAGGCTACCGTGACTGATCTCTGTGTGATCCGGGTCAGGATCCCTGTGGCCAGCTGATTGCCTTCATCATACAGACCCACTATATCACCTATAGAAGCAAAAAGTTACACAAATGTTGTGCACAGTTAAACTGTGACCTATTTTATATAATAAATTCCAGAGTATTTCAAATATCCTATCCCTATTGTCTTTAGAAATGCAAAAAAAAAAAAAAAAGAAATGCAATTGGTAGCAATAAAAATTGTTTTATAGTAAAAGTTTTTTTTAATAAATTAATTTTTTATTGGTGTTCAATTTACCATATAGTAAAAGTTTTTTAACCAGCACCTAAATTATATATAAAAATTGACTTGAAATCAATGAAGTGTTTACAGCAAACGTGCCAGTCAAGAAAAGATTTAAAGTGCCTGCTCTGTGCCAGGCGCTATTCCAGGCACTGGTCTGATTAGAAATAAGACACAGACATCTGCACCGAAGGCTTTAAGGAAAGATGAAAAAAAAAAAAAAAGGAAAGATGAAGCCCACCTAGGAGGGGATGGAGAGGGATGAGGGCATCACTTTAGAAACACTGTATGACAAGGGTTCCTCTGAGTGGTGACAGGTAAGCAGGATGGGTCTTGAACAAAGTGGAGCCCTCAAGCACATCTAGGAGAAACATTCCAGGAAGAACAGGAACATCGACGAAGGAGGGAGGGAGGTCATTTGCTGACCACTCAGCACGGATCTCTCCACTTCCCATGGCAATGCTGGGGGATTCACCCATCTGCTAGGTGACCCTGAGGGCCTTCCCTTGATGCCAGGGAGAGAGCATACAACCTACACCTCAGCCAGTCACTGCATCCCATGTCCGTCCCTGGCCACAGTAACCGTTCAGGGATGAGCACAGACCAAATCTGAGGCCCTGAGATGCAATGAGACTTTTGATTGGCATCTGCGAAGAGGCCCTCCGTCTGTCTAGCTGGACCAGGAACCTGAAAGCAAACTATGGCCAGAACCACTATGATGTGTCACCCAAGAAGGAAGCCAACCCAGAAGAAGGCAAAGCCAAGAAATGGAGAGAAGTGAAGCCTAAGCAACCTCCCAAAAGCCCTGAAGCCAACCTTCCAGTATTGCAACCAACGCCATCCTTCGTACCCAAGCCAGTTTGGCTTGGGTTTTCATCACCTGGAACAGAAGACTGTTCTGACCAAAACAGACTCCACTGTGAGAGAAAGCCAGAGCCACTCACATATTTACACCCTATTTATTCTGTGTCGGAAAGTATATGCCACAAGTCAACCAGGCACCAGGCACACCCTTAACTTGGGCTACTTTTCTTCCAGGCAAGGAGTTTCATCTCTACCTTGAACCTTTTCTCTGGCACCTTCCCTCAACTTTATAGAGACAAAGAGCACAGGGCAACAACACTCCTGGGGCAGGGTCTGGTTCTGTGTGTGCAACCACAGGACCCCATGCCTCCAGGGACCACCTCCCCACCAGTACCCTGCATAGGGTCCCATGTTCCAGAACTGAGGTTTCTAAGTTGAACCTTAAAACTGCTCTTCAGAAGATGAAAAAGTAACAACCCTACCTAAGCAACCTTAGCCGGATGCTTTTCCACATAAATGCCCCTGCCCCTGACTTCCTGTTTATGAACCCTTCACTAGTCTCTGGGGTCACACTCCACAATGGTGGTCAACTGAATATACTACTGAATACATTTTTACTTTTCGTTTTCAGATTTACAACACCCACCCACCCCCCCCCAGCCCGCATGGATATTGGACTGTGACAGTGAAACAGTGTAACAGAAAGTTGCCACTGTAACACCCCCAGTCCCTGCCTGCAGATAGCAGCCTCACTTAACAAGAACATGTAGACCTGATGCCAACCAGCAGCCGCTCTTCATCCCGTCTCCAATTCCAGCTAGTATTCCAACAACCGTGGGCAAGAGTTTGGCCAATCAGAATATGAAATTAAAAACCCGTCAGCACCAAAACACAGTGGAGACTCTTCTAGAGCAAGTACAGAACCACTGGTGCTGCCGTCTCCAGGTTTGAGAGCTAAACAGGTGCCCTTGGTGGGTGGTTCAGCAGCTTCTCCCAGCTGCTCGTCCTCTCCAGCAGGGTTGGCACGAGTGTACTTCAAGTACTCCTGGCACAAGAAGCCAGGGAACACGGAGCTATGAACACTGTGTCCTCACTGTCCAAGACAAATACGATGACAGTCCTGTGTAACGTTACACTTTCTAGGGGCCATGATAGAAAAATTTTTTAAAAAATACATTGGTTTTAATAACAACATATTTTAATGCCATATACATTCAACATGTATCACGTTTCCAAAAAATTACTCTAGAGATTATCTATATTTCTTGGTACTTGAACTTCAAAATCTGGTGTGCACTGCACACATGTGGCAATCACTGCCCACATCTCAACCACACACGGCAGGTGGCTGCCACCGCGGACAGTGCTGACCTAGACTACCAAAGAGCCACAGAGGTTGTGAACTTCCAACTAAGAGTTCTTCGCTGCATTGCTTTATTCTCCAACTAGTCACATGTAAGCTGGTGCTCACAAGAGTAAAATAAAAGTCACAGCTTGGAGACCAGCAGCACAAAATATACGCCTACATGGCCAATGCACAGACCCGAAGTAAAGCTGTTGCTGGGAAGCACCGCAGCAGATGTGCATCTCCTGGGCTCTAAGGTGACCAGCAGCCGCCCGTACAGTCCAGTCCTCTGGCTGGAAACCTGCAGCTTCAGCAAACAGACGCCTCGGCTCTGGAGTTCTTTTGGGGAGATGTTTTCCTGCCAGGACCTGGAAGACACCCAATACTGAGAGTTCAATATTTACACTTCCCCAGCTTTTATTCCAGCCCACACAGAAGGAATGTAAAAGGGAGAGAAAAGCAGACAAAGGCACCAAATAAGCCCCACAGAGGCTCTGCATCTGCCCTTGCATCCTGAGCCTCCCCCATCCCCTTGCGCTGGCAGAGCTAGTCCCTTTACCTGATCTACTTGCACTGGTTCCCCCCCCCCATGTCACTTAGTCCATCAGTGCCCCCTGCCAAGTCCACCACCTGTAACCTCACGAGTCCACCTCTGCCTCTCATCCTTACCACTATAACCCCGGTTCAAGCCATACCTCCTCCTCATCTGGACCAGGCAGAGCCTCCTGCCTCCTGCCTCCTGCCTGACCTCGGGGGCTTGCCCTGACCAGTCACAAGCAGCAGCACCCAAGCAGTCCACCTAAAATACAAATCTAGTCACTCCCCTTTGAAAAGTAACAAAGGAAGACCTCACTAAGATGGGGTAGGGAGGCCAGCCAGAGAGGGGAGCTGCGCCATTCCACGTCAGCTACAGACCCTGATGGCACAGAAGCCTCAACCCCACCACGGGGAAAGATGCACATCACATCCCCTGCAAGAAATCCACCAGCCCGGCACTCAGCCAGCGAGCGCCGGTCACCACGCTGAGCGCCCGCCTTTCTGTGACAGGCTTGTATTCCAAACAACCCTTCCCACTGCCTCCTCCTCCGTAAAATAAAGGTCCTTCCTCTCCTCCTTTTGTGGCACTAATCCAGTTTGTGCCACAGCTTCCTTGGCCGGAACTGCGATTCTCTGCTATTATGAATAGACTCATCTCGCTAGTGTGTAAAAAAAAAAAAAAAGGGGGGGGGGCTGTTTTATTTTTAGGGTTAACACCTCCCCCCAAAACCCACCCTTAGCCGTGCAGAGAGCCGTCCTCCGCGCACATCATAGAACCCAGGCCGGCCCGCGAGGCCCTCTCCATCTGAGCCCCGCCGCCCGCCGCCCCCCGCCCCGGGGGGCGCTCCCTGTGCCCGGGGCGGACCAACTCGAGCTCACCGAATCCCACTTCACAAGCGAGGTGGCCACGGCTCGGAGGTGTGACCTGCAACGTCCCACGGCCACGCACGAAGGAGCCGGGGTGCTGCCCAGGCTGGCAGGGCCGCAAAGGCTCTGAATCCTCAAACCAAAAGCCCCTCGCGCAAGCCAGGGCGCGGCCCAGCCCCTGCCCGCAGCGCAGGGAGGGACTCGGCGCAAGCCCCGGAATCCGGCTGCCAGGCCTCCGGCGGCACCGGGAGGTCGCGGCTGCTGCGGCTTCGGCCGGGCGACCCTGCGGCCCTGCGGACGCGGCCTGTCCCCGGCGTCCCCTCGGCGCAGGGCTGCCCTTCTCCCACGTCGCGCCCAGGAAGGCCCCCCCCTCCTCCGCCTCCGCCCCGCCCGCGCCCCGCCCGCGCCCCCGCCCGCGCCCCCGCCCGCGCCCCGCCCGCCAGCTCAGCACCACCTGCCCGACGCCAGCTCAGCCGCGCCCACCTGGGGGAGCCGGTCTCCGCCGCACGCGGGCTCACGCTCACGCCGAGCGCTCCTGCCCCGGGCCCGGCCTCCGCCGGCGCCAGCCCGCTCCGCGCCCCCAGCCCAGCCAGCGGCCCGCATCCCCGCGCCCGCCCCGAGGGAGGAAAAGGGCCGGAGACGCGCCGAGCACAGGCTGGACCCGGGCTGGACACGTGGGGGCGGGGGCTCCAGGCTGAAAAGAAAGGACCTACGGGCCCCCAACCGGCGCCGCGAGCGCCGGGACCTGCCGGCCGCCCCCTACCTGCGCTCCTCGACCTCCGCGTCTCTCTCGAGCTCCAGCAGGGCCAAATGCTTGGTCACGAAGCTCTCCACAGCCGCGGAGGCCATGGCCGCCGACCGGCCGGGCCCGGGGCCGCGCAGGCGCCGCCGCCGCCCCCGCCGCCGCCGCCGCCGCACCCGCGCGGGGCGGAGTTCCCGGCCGGACCCCGTGCGTCGACGCACAAGGCGCGCGCCCGCACCGCTTCCGCTTCCGCTTCCGCTTCCGGCCGAGGCTGCGGGAAGATGGCGGCGGCCGCGGCGGCCGTGGCGGCCCGGGCCGTGCCCGTGTGCTTCCGACGGCTGCTGTGCGCGTGCAGCCGCCGCGGCCCGAGAGCCGCAGGGCCCGGAGCCGGTGAGAGGCGGGCAGCGGGGTGAGAGGCGGGCAGCGGGGCGTGCGGGTCCGCGTCCGCGTCCGCCCCATGCCTTCGGCGTTGGCCGCTTGCTGTCGGCGCGGTGACCTGCACGGCGCTGGCCTTGCAGTCGGGGCGGCCCAGGCTCGGCCTGGTGCCTTTCGTTAGCAGTGACATTCGCCGAAGGCACTATCTTTGCTTGAAATGGTTGTCGTGCCGATTTTGTTTATTTATTTGAGAGACAGAGCGCGCGCGCGCACATGAGCAGGGGCAGAGGGAGCGGGGGAGCGGGGAGCCCGGTGCGGGGCTCGGGCCGGGCACCAGGGATCATAACCTGAGCCACCCACTGCCCCCACCCATGCTTCCAAAATAGGCCCGGGGACGCCTGGGTGGCCGGCGGCTGAGGTCTGTCTGCGCCCCAGGTCGCGATCCCGAGGTCCTGGGATCCAGTCCCACGTCTGCCTCTCTCTGTGTGTTCGTCCTGAATAGATAAATAAGATCTTTTTAAAAATAGGTCTAAGCGTACATTTGCGGATATTGAAGGATTGTTCTCCTTAGATATAACAGTGCTTCAGTGACGTGTTTTTTAAAGAATATTTTCTTTTTGTGGAAGCATGTTGACATCTTTGCTGCTCAAGCAGTGTATCTGTGATTGACTTAAAAATAATTGCAAAGTTGGGCCAGAGACCGTGTACACCCAAAAATGTGCAGCGTGAGTTGATAACCGTTGAATCTGCGTGAAGGCTCTGGACTCTCGGTTCTGCCCTCTTTACTTTCTCGTGTGTTTGACGTTTTCCATTAGTAAAAGTTAGGTTTAGGGAGGGAGGGACAGTTTTACAAAAGCAGTGGAAATTATTCCCTTGTCCTGACATAAGACCGCCTTTGGAATGCTGTGTTCAACTCCAGACTCCCCACTTTAAGAAACACAGGTAACGTGGAGTTCAGAGAAGGTGACCAGAATGGTAAGCGGCCAGGTCCTTGAGTGAGAGAGGGGAACAGGATGGAAGACACCACAGTGCTCAGAGCTGTAGGACGACCCCATGGGAGAGGAGGGAGCACATTTGTTCCTTCCGGGGTCCAGGACTGAGCCAAGGCCGTAGATGAGAGTTACAGTGAGGTGGCTTCCAAGGGAGGCTCAGAGTCCACTGTCAGGGCATATTCCAACCAGGGCTTCATTCATTCGCCCACCATTTACTGAGCACCTCTTATGCGCAAGCACTGATGGGGAGAAGGGTGGAATACATCGTAAACTTAAATAATCCCTGCTCTTAATGGTGCTAGTATTCTGATGGAGGAAGGGTGGCTGTGGAAAAACAGGCAACTTTTTTTTTTTAAGATTCTGTTTATTTATGAGAGACACAGAGAGAGAAGCAGAGACACAGGCAGAGGGAGAAACAGGCTCCATGCAGGGAGCCCGACGTGGGACTTGATCCCAGGACCCCAGGATCAGGCCCTGGGTTGAAGGTGCCACTGAGCCACCCAGGCTGCCCAAGACAGGAAATTTTTAAAAATAAATTACATAGTGTATTAGAAGCTGGTGAGTCTTAGGGAGAAAAATCAAGCATGAAGCGGGTGGGAGAGGGTCAATTTTAAATAGGATAGTCCAGGAAGACCTCTCTACTGAGATGGTGTTTGAGCGGACACCCAGAGAAAATGGGGGAAGGAGGTTTCAGAGGAAGAGCAGCCAAGGCACACACGCTTCGAGGCAGGCACTTGGCATGTGCCTGGCATGTTCCAAGAATAGCCAGGAAGCCAGAGTGGCAGGTGCAGAATGAACAAGAGGTAGAGTCTGAGAGATGGGCTCAGAGCGAGCAAGAGAGAGAGGGGGCATCACACTGCCCATGCCCTATAGGCCCTTGTGAGGGTTTTGGCTTTTCTCTGAATTAAATAGGAAGCTCTTGGAGAGTTTTGGCAAAAGAGTGACAAGATCTGGGATCCCTGGGTGGCGCAGTGGTTTGGCGCCTGCCTTTGGCCCAGGGCGCGATCCTGGAGACCCGGGATCGAATCCCACGTCGGGCTCCCGGTGCATGGAGCCTGCTTCTCCCTCTGCCTGTGTCTCTGCCTCTCTCTCTCTCACTGTGTGCCTATCATAAATAAATAAAAATTAAAAAAAATATTAAAAAAAAAAAAAAGAGTGACAAGATCTGACCTGAGTTTTCACAGGGTCACTCTAGCTGCTGCACAGAGAAGGGAGGTAATGGGAAGAGCAGGGTGTTAGTAATAATTCCAGCAAGAGGTGATTGATGGTGGCTTGGGGGATTTAGGTGGTCAGACCCTGGATCTCGAAGAGAGAGCTGATCTGCTGATAGCTCTGAGGGTGTGAGAGAGGAAAGGGTCAAGAGTGACTGAGATTTTTTGGCCTGAGCAACTAGAAAGGTGACATTGCCATTTTGTGAGATGGGGAGGAGAAGCAGGCATGAGGGTGAATCTGGACCTTTGTAGGTTTTGAGATGCCTGTCAGACTTGCAAGTGGTGACAGCACATGGACAAGTGGGTGGTCAAATCCAGGCTGCAGGTGTAAACCTGGGAGTCACCAGTGTAAACAAGATACTTAAATCCATTCATCTACATACAATCACCTGAGGAATGGTCCCAGAAAAAGAAGAGATAAGGCCGAAGATCTAAACCCCAGGCACAGCAAGGTAGTAGAGGAGAACCCAGCCCAAGATACCAATAATTGGGAACACCTGCTAAGACATAGCTGTAATAGGGTGAATTTCATAGAAAGTACATTATAGCTCAGTATTAAAAAAATAAATAAAAAAAACTAAATGCAGGACGCCTGGGTGGCTCAGCAGTTAAGTGCCTGCCTTCGGCCCAGGGTGTGATCTTGGAGTCCCGGGATCAAGTCCCACATCCGGCTCCCTGCATGGAGCCTGCTTCTCTCTCTGCTTCTGTCTCTCATGAATAAATAAATAAAATCTTTAAAAATAAAAAATAAAAATAAAACACATCAGTAGATGCAAGAAATGTTTGGCGGGATTCGATATTCATAACGACAACGCAAAGAACTAGATAGAGGAAACTTTTAATTCATTTTAAGTAGACTCCACACCCAGTGTGGGGCTCAAACTCACGACCCCGAGATCCAGAGCTGCATAGTCTACCGACTAAGCTAGTCAGGGGCCCCCATAGAGGAAACTTCAGTAACAGGACATCTTTAGAGGCAATGAATAAATAAATCCTCAACAGTTACTGAGTTGCTACCCTCTCCTTTTCTCTCCTAAGCTCCACATTTGATTTCTGGGCCTTTGTCCCTTGGTGTATTAGTCATCTACTGCTGCATAATAAGTCACCCCAAAACTTGGCAGCTTAGCGTGGTTGACATTTGTCATGTCCCACCATTTCCAATGGTCAGGAGTAGAACAGGAGCAGGTTAGCTGGGTGGTTCTGGCTCTCAGGTTGCCCTCAGGCTGTCTGCTGGGGCGGGATCTTCTGTTTCCCAGCTCACAACCTTAGCCATGGGCAGGAGGCCTCCATTCTAGTCTTTTATAACGTAATTTCAGAAGTGTTGTGCTATCACGTCGGCCACATGTCATTGGTCACAGAAACCAACCCCATTTGGGAGGGACAACATGGGTGAGCCTAGCAGGAGATGGGCTCCTCAGGCCGTCTGGGAGGCGGAGAACAGCATCTGACCCTACGGGGCACTTGGCGATCAAGGAACAGGTCAGTGGGTGAGGGTTCTTGTTTTAGGCCCTTTTCAATGATGTGATGAACAGATGAACACACACAAGTAATAAACGCAAACAGTGGTGTTTTAGCTTTGTCAACAGAGATTTTTTCCACAGACACGTTGTGACCTGGTGCTCCAACTCCAGCACCAGCAATCGCAGTTGTCCATTTCACTTTGTAAGAGCAGTGGCATTTCTTACCACTAATGATCACTGTTTCTTGTTTCCTCAGCTTCCCTGGGATCTGCTTCCCAAAGATTTGGTTCGCAGAGTACTTCAGTTCCACAAGGGTAATGTCAAAACCTGGGTTTGAGTGACTCTTCCTTTGTAGAACTATCTTTCTAAAGTCAGAACGGCCTATGTGTGGGTTTTCGATGATATTTACATTTTCTCATACCTTTTTTGATAGTATTTTTCTAGAACCCTTGACATAAACATCCATGGAACATCCAGAGTCCAAAGATGAATGTGCTCCTAATTAGAGGCTTCTAACCGGAGAGCTCGAATCACAAGAAGGTTGGATCAGAATTTTTAGGAAGAACTTAAATATCCCTTGGAAGAGCATATTCAGTATTAAAATATCACTCTTAGAGGAAAAAAAATCTTTTTTTAATTTTTTTTAAGATTTTATTTACTTTGGGAGGGGGAAAAAGGAGAGAATCTCAAGCAGACTCCCAGCTGAGCCTGAAGCCCAAACACAGGGCTGGGTCCCAGGACCCTAAGATCACCACCTGAGGGGATCCCTGGGCGGCACAGCGGTTTGGCGCCTGCCTTTGGCCCAGGGCGTGATCCTGGAGACCCAGGATCGAATCCCACATCAGGCTCCTGGTGCATGGAGCCTGCTTCTCCCTCTGCCTATGTCTCTGCCTCTCTCTCTTTCTCTCTCTCTGACTATCATAAATAAGTAAGTAAGTAAGTAAATAGATAGATAGATAGATAGATAGATATTAAAAAAAAAAAAAAGATCACCACCTGAGTTGAAATCAGAAGTTGGATGCTTAGCCGACTGAGCCACCCAGGCACCCCAGGGAGAAAAAAAACCTTTAATGTAAACTACAGAAGGTAAATTTGACAAAATCCCACCCAAATTCCCA